GCAGGTATCCCTGGCATGCAACTACAAGTCATGTTGCCCAAAGACACCTAAAGCATCCTAAGCTTCCACAGATAAAGTAGGGGTGCATGGACTTGTCACTGTCTACCACTGCAAGGGTTGACAAAATGCACTTGAGAGATCCAAGGAAGTGGGTCATGCCTGACCTACAGAGGAAGGACACCCCCTCCCCCACTACAGTCTGTGCCATCTGGTCGTGATGTAAAATTTGCTCCTGATCCCAACATGGTGATCAGTCTGACCCTAAGCAAAGGGGCAAGACACTCTAACCAGGAACCTCTGGGTTTTAGTTGCAGCAGGAGCATTGGCACATACCAGTCAAAATTCCCAGTTGTGACTGCAGCCAACACCCAATGTTGTGGTAAGACTGCAAACCCTAATGGTAGACTGGTAACGCTGTAATTTACACTATTGCAACTTGCTTGGGTTTGAAAGCTGGGCAAGCTGTGCTGGAGCAAATCACCCTGCTAGGTGCTTTGTCTGTCTCCCTTGGTGGATTGCAGTTGTGCAGAGACAACAGCCCCTGCCCAGATGGTAGAGAACACTGGGGACTTCCAAAATGTTGTACCAACATGCTTTTAGCTAGTGAGCTTGCTAAATCAGATCTCTGTGAGGACTCAGGGACCTCATACCTGGCAGTTTTACAGTAGAATGAGAACTAAACAGGGGGTAGGTCATGACTTCTATAACATCCCCAACAGCAGGGGGAATGGACTCTGGAACCACTTTATTTACAGCAGCAATTCTAGCAGCAGCTGAACAGTACTAGGATTAGCCACCAGAGGACCATATATTTGGCATGTAACCCTGGAAGGCAGTAGCAGGGGAAGTAGGGGCTAGCAGGATACCAGCCCCAGGTGCTGACTTAAAGGTGATGCCAGTATGGCCCCCTTCATCCATGAGTCTTTACCTTGGCAGGTGCAGCCGAACCATAGGAGCTGGGCAGGCAAAACCCCATGCCTACTAGTGTATCTGAAGGAAGAGGAGGCATGGAGGAGGGGGTGGAATGAGGCCTCTCTGCAGGGAGGCTTTGCCAGGGGATTCACAGCCCTGCTCCCAAGGGAGAGTGAATAGGTCACCAGGAGCAGCCCCTGGGGAGCCCATGCCACTGCCTGTCCCTCAGCTGTAGCAGTTGCAGAAGTAGTAGCTGCCACTCAAGTGAGAGAGCCCCAGTAGGTAAGACTCCACTACCCTCTGCTCCCCTACTTCTTCAGTGGTCAGCATATTCCCTCCCTCCCTCTGTCTTGGTCACTGAAAGAGCTTGCTATGCCTCTGCTGGAAGGCATAGCCCACCTTCCACATTACACCCTCCTTGCATCGGAAGAAACCCATCCCAAGCAACTGAAAGACATAGGGTTTCAAATTCTCTTGCACACCAGCCACCATCCATTGGCTCTCCTTGGTCTTCTCCAAGGATAGAAACTTGAATTTTTCAGCTCAAAGACATGAGCCTTCTCTACTTGAGCTAAAATTCTTTTTCTTTTAGCAGCAGCAGTAGAGTCTTTGTTATAACATGAACCACCCACTAGCAGGACGCAGATTCACATGCACACATCAGACTAGTTGCCACATTTGGGATCAGGAAGGACTTTTACACCGTGGTCAGACTGGCATGGACGAAGGGTTTTTTTGCCTTCCTCTTTAGTGGGGGGCATGACCTGGAATCTCTTGGGTGTTTATTAACAACCTTTTATAGCAGCAGGATGTTGACTGCCATGTTTCTCCTGCTTTACCTGCAGTCGGGTAGGGTGTAATGTCTTGTGTTGTGTCAGTGTTGATGGTAGTTTTACAATGAGTTTAGATTATAGATTTGTATAGGATGGTTTGGATAGGGATGATCCTGCCTCAGGCAGGGGGTAGTACTAAATGAGCTCTGGAGGTCACTTCCAGCCCTACTTCTCAATGGTTCTGTGAATGTAAGGTATCTGCAGTAATGTATGCTACCTGAAGGAAACACACTGCTATCCAGTTAGCTAGGTGTCAGCAACCTACAGCAGCCCACGGAGCCCGGGGGGGTTGACAGCAGAGGGCTTTGTTCTGGCCTGACTCAGACTCAAGCAGAGCCATTTCGGCCCAAAACTGGAAAAATGTTCTTACCGCCTGAGTGAGACCTTTGTCACTTTAGCTGCTGTCTTAAAGCTTGTGCTCCATCAAGTACTGTCATTATGACATGGAAATAGTAGATGCTGGAAGTGTAAAAGTAGAATTGGAAGTTAGACCACAGTTTTGTAGTAGAGGGTGGGTGCTGGACATAATGCAAACAGAGATGCATTTTTACTATAAAAGCAATGCACAGCTGCCTCTCGGTATGAAGGTAACATCTCTGATTAAAACCTGTACATACTTGCAATATAGTGGTTCTAGAAAGTCACTGTCCAAGCAGAGCAGCAAAGCCAAAGAGCTGTGATAGAGCTGCAGTTGCTGTGAGAGATGAATGTGGTGCCAACAGTGGTGTGGGTGACCCTCCTAATTTACTGAGCAGAGAGAATTAAAATGTGGGAATGAAATCTGGCCAGTCATCCCGCTATCCTCACCCAGCGGTGCTCTTTGTTGTGTCAGGTTGTGGGCAGGTTGTTGCGGTACCTGATTTGAAGTGGATTTTTCAGTCCCCAGCGCTATTTTCTGTGACTTGCTTATGTTGCAGCTGAAAAGCATTCACACTTGACCACCTGAGACTGGGACGTGGTACATTGTAAGGAAGTTCCAGCAGTCTTGCACAATATAAGCCAAAGAATAGAGAAACCCACATAGTTTTTCAAAGAGTAACTAACTACTAAGGGCTAAACCAGACTTCCAGATGGACCTATATTAGCTTGCATCTCAAAAAGATCTGGCTCCACTGTAGTGAATGCAAAGTCTAACAGTGGTTGGTCTACCTTCATGTTTGCCCTATTTTTATATCACAGTGGGCATGTCTACACAAGTGCTTTAATGCATATTAGCCTATTTTAATCTGCATTAAAGCGTCACAAAAAGTTCTCTTTAGCTAAGGCACATTAAAATAGGATAATGTGCATTTTTCTAGTACCTCACAATGGAGGTACTAGATTTAATGTGCATTACGTAAAGCACATTAATGAATGTGTAGATGTGCCCAGTAACTTTTAAATTCTGGACTGCAAATCAGTGGTTGTTCATGCAGAAGAAAGAGAGGCCTTATGAGTGGACCCATTCCCATGGGGGATTCATGGATAGTTATTCTGTGACAGAGCATTTGTGGGCTCCGCTGCTTGTTGGCTTATAGGATCTAAATCCAGTGCATTCTGCTTAGAGGTAAAAGGATGGGGGTGGGCGAGGGGGGTTCCTCCCTAAATGCAAACTCTGCCTAGGAAAGTAGAGCAGGATTCCTTGCATCTTGTCTGTTTTCAGCAACGAGCTCTCTCTCTGATGGCCAGACTGGACCTTGGGTGACCCCTGTGCAATTCCATTGGTCACGCAGATACAAATTATATGAATGGAGTAGACAATTCTCATAGTGAAACACAAGAAGCAGTAGAACCCAGCACACTTTCTTACATTTGTGTTTGTCCTAAAGGGTAGACAGGAGTAAAAAGCAATAAAAACGTCCTTAATTGCCAAAGCAAGCAGAGCTGTCTCTGCAGCAGAGGAAGTAGATCTGCTGGGTAAGAGGCAAACTTTTTTTTTTCATCCTTCCACCTTTCAGAATGAAACTATACTTTATAGAGGGGAGTAGAGAGCTCAGGGTGATATTTGCTCTCTCTGATTTACCCTGTTGAAACTATACTTTATAGAGGGGGAGTAGAGAGCTCAGGGTGATATTTGCTCTCTCTGATTTACCCTGTTGCAAGTGAAAGCAGAATTTGGCCCCCAATCTGTAATTTCACAGTACACCAGTGCCGTGTACCAATTTGCTTTAATTCTTCATTTTCACTTTGCTGCCTCTCCTGCATTTTTTGGTATTGTCGCAGATATACTGGGGAAGAGGGAATTCCCACATCCATCATCATTTAACTGCCCTGAAGATTACTTTGGGGCAGGATATCATCATTTGTTCATAACACTGCATCAACATGTGCCTTCATTTTCTGTGGTTATATTGCATCGTATTGTCTAAGGCACAGGCTGGAATTGAAGGATGATAACTCCATTATTTGGCTTTTATTTATGAGGGCTCTGCTACACATTCAAATTAAAGCTAGATCGAAACCAGCTACAGAGTTGTTACACATTTTGAAGCACTAACTTTATAGCTGGCTGGCTCTTCTTATAGCTGGATAGTAATTTTTATCATGTAATAATTACTTTGCACGTGTGACCGGTATACATTTATTGTGCAATTAACCAATCAATTGTGTGATAATTACCTTGTACTTGTGGCCAGTCTTTGCATGTGTGACCGGTCTAAATTTATTGCACAATTAACCAGTCAGTTGCATAATATATGTAATGTGTAGCAGAGGCCTAAGTGTAACAGCACTAGGCAAAGCCAGAAGAGATGCTTAGGCCAGGTCTCTACTATGAACATTTCTCAGCCTAGGTCTGTCAGGCAGGGCTGTGATCTCTGATTAACATCATTGTGATGGTAAAACCCCCTTGTGTAGATGCAGTCATAATGGAAAAAACTTTTGCTGCTACAGCTGATTTCACTGTGTGGGGCCAGGAATAAACTACACAGGCAAAACACACGCAATTTTGCTGGTAAAAGCTCTGTCAGCATTAGAAGTGTTTTACCGGTGTGCTGGTACGGTATAACTAGGTAGGCTGCTTAAATATTTGTAGGTAGACCTTCTAATGCTGCAGGCTATGTTTGTTCATTATTCACTGGTTTTTATTTGGTTGGAAGAAGGACTAATGGAAATCCATTTGCATATAAATACCCAGACTGCTTTGTGAGGTACTAACAGCAAAGAGCTTCACGGAGGATGTCTCTAACCATCTCTCTTTCTCTCTCTCTCCCTGTCCCTCTCCCTCTGTCTCTCTCCCTCTCTCTCTTTCTCTCTCTCGCTCTGTTTCTCCTGCAGGGCTTGTGAAGTTGGGGGTTCACTGTGTAACATGTCAAAAGGTCGCGATAAAAATTGTCAACAGAGAGAAGCTCAGCGAGTCGGTGCTAATGAAGGTAATTTTCTAATGGGAGATTCGGAGGGGAAAAAAAAGTAAAGTTCTTGGCTCCGTGGCTCCTGTTCCATGCAAAATTAATATCTTTAATTATGTTTAACAAACATCCCTGTCAGTACTAAGACTGTGTTGTGCATAATAATAATAATTCAGGGGTGGGGGGGGAGGCTAGGGAGGCTGGAATTAAAGAGGAGTATGCCTGTGCTTTAATTAAGAGCAAAATTAATGGCCAGTCTTAGAGCTGTTACTGCTATGCTATGGCAGATGGGTGTGCTAGGGTTAGCAGATCCACCACGAGAGTGATGGTGTGTGATGCAGGCTGTGTGTGGAGATGGGTGCATTTGAATTTCATCATGAGGGCACTTTTGTGAGGATATAGACTTTGTTCTGCTGTATGGGTTCATCCTGATCTGATGCACCGCATCCTCATCCAGCATAAACTGGTTCCATTCCATCGGTGTCAGCTGAACTGTTCTAGCCCCGTTGCTCTTAATTCCCACAGGAGGACTGACTTGAGGGTTTACATCCATGCCATAAAGCTGGTCTTGGCTACTGAACGACATAAATGAACAAACTTCCTGTTGCTTTTGCCTGATTTTTGTGAACAGCAAGGCCAGACCCAACACTAACATGAGCGAGCACACCTGGTTTAAACTACCTGTGAATTTGGCCTATATCTGCGGTTTGAGGGAACTTGCATAGGAGCCGAAACAGCACTTGTCACTGGAGGCATTCTTAGTCTGCATGCTTGTGAATGACAGATACTGTATTTTCTCTTATACAACATGCCCCAGATTATATTACACACCTTGTTTCTGAAAGGCAGAATAAAGAAAACACATCTTTCTGGGTGCAGATGTAAAAGTGAAGATTAAAGGAACATATTGCTTATTTGGGTGACCAAATTTGGGATATATGTTTAAGCAAGGTTCTTTGGGTACATGTGATATTTTTTATTAGACCAACTGAGTAGTTGGAAAAAAGTCCTTTGCAAGCTTTCAGGTGCAATCACCCTTCTTCAGGCATGAATATATTTTTATTTTTTTAAAGGGGGGGGGGGGGTTGCAGAACCTCTTGAAGAGGAAATATATTCAATTTCTAGGTGTTTTGGAATTTCAATGAAACATTCTCCCTGTCCCTAGCCCCAACATTGTGAACTTAAACAACTCTTTGCTAATGCATAAAGGCCAGGAAGTGAAAAGGGCTGACCACAGAACCATAATTTAGAGAGAAACTCCCTATTTTGTCCAAGATGAGTGAAATGCAAATAGTAAATAAACTGCATAAATGGTGAAGTTTAAATGAGACCTTAAATGCTTTGAATAATCTCATTAGCGAGACAATTAAGGAATTCATTTAACATTTGTGTTGACTGTGAGATCCTTTCCATGCTTGGTATCTTGTGTAAAAGATTTTATTTATCTCATTATTTTCAGAGTAGGGGGCAGAGTGGAACCTTTCAGATTGCAAAACAGTCTTTCTTTGGACCTGATTCCTTGTTGCTCTGCCCAGTTGTGTCGTAAAACTAGAAGACTGCAATTGTGCATCGGGCCCTTCTCTACAATGAGGAGTGCTGAAGAGTGCTACGTTTCCTTCAGGGTTCTTCCCGTGTATTATACTGGGATTCCCTGCTATACTCCTTCAGACCAACTCTCCCCAGAGCTTTCTCGGACACGAGTTCTCCACTAGATGTTCAGTATATGGCAGCAGTGTATGGAAATGGAGAAGGTATCTTTTCCATAACTACAGTGATTTCAGGATTGTCCCATGTCTGACAGAGAGAGGCAGGGCTTTGGTCCTTTTAAATGACCTTGGAGCAGACTGTCATGTTAGCCTGCTTAATCCAGGCAGGCTGATGGGAAAAAAAAACTGGTGATTCAGTTGCTTCCAAGTTACATTCTTGCCAGCTTTCAGCATCAGAGTGCAGTTGCTGCCAGCCGGCCAGCTGAAAGCCCACAGGGCAGAGTCGGCAGCGATAGGAAAGAAGCTGAGGGTAAAGCCGAACAGCGCACTGTGGTGGCATTCCCACCCTGCAAATCTTCCCTCTGGTTTAGCTCCGATGACAGCCTCGGGTCTCCCTCCCATCGGACCAGCCATATCAGTCCTTGGATCAACGTGTTATAAATCCTCTCTCCCAAACCAGCTTTAATCTACCTCTGGAAGGAAAAAGAAAAAAAAAACCTAGACATGAAAAACATTCACACCAACAGCAGGCAGATGCAGAAGTGCAGTACAGTGGCCATTTCTTCTAGCATAAAGAAGCCTGCCCACAGGCCTTCCAGCATCTAAAATGACAAACATTGGCAGAGAGAGCAAGCTGCTCAGTCCTACAGAAGGTTGTCTCATCATTCTGTCTCTACTTGCTTCTTACAGCCTTTCTTTCTCCGGTATTTTTGCAGCTAGCACTTTTATTTTGTACGTTCAGGGAACTGTCCCTTCTCTCTCTGCAGCTGCTCTTCAACTGAGCTGTGCAGAATTGAGAGGCATTTGGTAAAGTGCTTTCTAATCATAACGTAATACTATCAATATTTCTGGAGAGAATAATTCGGGATTGAAGCAGCTGGTCTCAATTAACAAAACTGCCGCTATGGAGATGATGCATGGGCAGGGATGGTGCAGCATGAAGCTGCAGTAAATGTATCATGTGCACTGCCCTATCAAAAAGGGACTGGCTTGTAGGTAGACTACTAAGCAGATGTGTATGGATGGTCTGTAGAGTGTGCACTTGGCTTTCCAAACTGTCACGTTCTCCCACGTTATGAATAAATTTGAGAGCTGTGCTCCTTGCGTAATCCTGCCTGTGTCCTATTGGAAATATGGCTTTGGGGGGACAAAGCTATACATGGCCATAATTTCCAGTGCCAGAAAAAAGAAAGATTCATAAAATCGTAGAAAAGTAGAGTTGGATTCTGACCTCACTCCACTTTCTCATAGTTTAATAAATTTGGGCTGCCTGTTTGGTAACATACCCTGTGAGCACTCTGGGCCTTACTCTCTACTATCGCACATTGGAAGAAACTGATTTGGGTTATGGAGTCTTTCTGCAGATGGGAATCTGCCTCATTAACTTCAGTGGACTTAATTCTGCTTTGCTGTTATGTAATTCAGAGGCAACCAGGCTGAGCGTCCAATGTCCATAAATGGGTTTGTACTAAACGCAAAAGGCCATTCAGATTTTCAGCTGGTAGTGGAGATTTTCAAAGACTGTGGTATGAGATTTTCAGACTAGGGCATTTAGCCTCATATCCCCCCCCTGAAATTAATGGGTGGCTAAATCCCCTAGTCAGTTTAAAATCTCAACCCCTGTATTGCATGTTAAATATATATCCTCTAGAGAGGGATTATTCAGAGTTGCTAATTCACTGACCTGGAAATGCTGTGGGCCTTTCAAATCTGTAAAAGGCCTTATGTGCTCCGTAATGAGGATTCTGGATTGTGCAGAACTCTGCGTGATGCACAGACCAGAAAATCTGCAGCAGTGTCATTTTAAGTTTTAAAAAGGGAGGTTATAAATAATTAAACATGAAAATGAATCATACAGTCAGTATGTAGCCCCTCTGTTATTTATTATGATATTACAATCTGTTTAATTTATGCTAATCGCACATTTGAAGGGGAGCTTTTTTGTCATTCTAATGCATTCTATCACCTGTTCCTATATGTTTCAAATCTGTTGTCGGGTTAAAGTTTGAGTCTTTAGCAAATGAATAAGAAGGCATTGCTGCTTTTTGGCATGCAGGAAGATGTGTGGTTGGTGCTGGGGACTGTGAAGTAAGCAAATTAGCACAATAGTTTTACAGTATATTGGTTAATGATGTTGACAAGAAAGTTTGTTTTGCTTTCAGTTACTACCGTCTTTGAGATGAAGATAGTGAGGTCACACCTCTCAGAGCTAATGTTTCACTCTTTCTACAGACTCATGAGTTTAAACTTCATTAACATGTCCAAGATTTTCTGCCTGACCATAAAGCCTTAGACACATCATTACATTCTCTTTTTAAAGTAAGTTTAGATTCTGCTACCCAGAGGTAGATTCAGTGGTAAATGGTGCATTCGTATCACAGAACGCACACGTCCCTGAATACCATAACAGGTACTGGTGGCGTTACTGTGAAATGACCAAGTAGGTGATTGTCTAAATCAAGGGCTGGCCACCATTTTGGAGCAGAGGGCCACCATAACTTAGTTTAGCCCAAGGTGGGCTGGTGCTTCTGACCCTGCTTCTGGTGCCACGGCCACTTATCCCTGGTGCCTAAATTGCTACCAACCTTGCCCCAACAGTGCTAATATCTGAACTTTGCAGATCTAATGAAATCACTCAGCAGGCTTGACCCAGCCCTTGAAACATAAATTGCTGGCCTGTGATCTAAATGCCAGTGTTGTCACTGCCATAGGCCAGTGAATGCTGCCATCAGTGGTGCTGTTCCAAAGCTCAAGTTCAGTCTTTATGCATCTCTCCAGGGAAAAAGATGTGTAACAAGGCCCACAGTACCTTTTTTTAATTTTTTTTTATGATGCCTCTTTTCTGACATCATTTATTCCTATTTTAAGATCCCGTTATACTGTCACAAGGGCCTTAATGCAACTGAGAATTCAGGCCACAAGATTGCTCCATGGGTAATAGAATATAAAAGGAAACAATGCTGCTCTGGTCAGTGATAGTTAAATTACCAGTCAGACCACTCTTACTGAGGGTGAAGTTACAGGTTACACTTAGACTGTACTAAATCTGTGGAATCGTAAGCAGTATTAAAATTAGAGCATGCTGAGTGCATCTACAGGTGCATATTAATACAATGCAATAAACTCCGGTGCACCACATGTGCTTCCGGGCATCACATTTACACTTGTGCCCAGGACCATAGCACATTGAGCCAGACTGGAGCAGTCCTGGCTGGCACGGGGCCCCAGGAGGTCAGCGTGTCAGCCCAGGGCTGCTCCCCCTGGCTCAACATGCTGCAGAGCAGATGGCTGGGGCACAAGGGTACTCCAGTGCAGGGC